GCCAAGGCCTGCACCCTGCCTCTCTCCCGAAGTGTGTTAGCACTGCTGCTGTCTGCTGCTTGCTGATGGGTTTTACTCTTCAAGTTGATGCCAGGTTTTACTGGACATCTCTAGTAGGACTGGAGCTTTTCAGTGAGCACAACCCCAGTGATGCTCCGTGGTAATGCCAGGCAGCAGCTCTGCACTAGGTTGTTTGGCTCCAGTGTACTTTTACTCCATGGTTTGGTAGGAGGTTCAGATGAGCCTTTGCTTTAATGCTGCTTCTGTCTTCACAGTGATCTCTGTGCATTCTGTGTTCTGTATGTGGGTAGCATAATGTTGAGGGCAGACCTTCCCCTGAGCTCTCTGTCTCTTCCTGGCCTACAGGCACTATCCAGAGAGGGGGAAATGTCTTGCATACGTCCCTTGGGTAATGTGCCTGATATTCAAGCTGCAGGAGGAGCAGAACTGCTTCACAGAGGCTTTTCAGCTGGGTGGGACCAGGTTGGGATCTGCACTGACACCTGTAAAATCTAACCCGGTAGTTTTTTGATTGCTCAGCATTTGGTGCACCTCAGCCTGTGCAGAGACACTGATGTTCTCAGGTGGTGCTGGGAGCTGCAACAACCCACAGCATACAGGGTAAGGCTCAGCTGACTCTGGGCAGCTGTGCTGCCTCTCTTGAGAGCACAGTGTCCAAACGTGTGCCTGGCTGTGGTCAGACAGAGCCCAGCCCTTTCCAGGCTGAGCACACCTTGTTCCAGGCCCTTTGCACAGCAGCAAGGGGAGCTCCAGTTCTGGTTAGCTTCCCCACACCGGCTTCCTGGTAGCTTTGCAGAGATGTAGCAGAGTTTTCAAAGTGAGCCCTGGGGGGAGGTTTGATAGTGAGTTGCCTGTCTTTCCTCTGAGACCTGACATGAGCTGTCTTCTTTCTTGCAGAGAGAGCTGCTCCCTGGGCTGCTTTCCTCGCCCTTCCCAAATGTGAGCATATCACAGCCAGCACAGAGAAGAGCCTCCTCTTGTCTTCAAGGCACTTGCCTCTGCCTCCTGTTCTTTTGTCCAAAAAAAGAAAAAGCCAAACCAAATCAGTCGACAAAGAACTCGTGTTGATCTAAGGAGGAGGCTCTGGAGTCTCAGTCACCTCTTTGCTCCCTAAGATCCTGGCCGTGGCCTGGATTTTCTGTCCTCGACTTCACGGGGTCAACTACAGGGAATCAGGATCTTGGAGTCTTTTGATTTTGGTGTTGCTTGAACCCTTTCAACCAGGAAGCTGAAGCTATCACTGCTAAAATCCCGTTTTTTTTTCCCAA